CCAAACGCTGCGAAGGTCTCTGTGACTTGGCTGGAAAGAGAAATAAAAGTAGGCCAGTTATTTCCGAAGCGACAGATATTCATAAAGCTTAGTTTTTCGTTTCACAAATTAATTGGTGGCCTAATTTCTGCGCGGGAGGCGCACTCTCTATTTTTCGTGCCGAGTACTATTAGGGAGCTGTGTTAGTAGTATTGCCAGAACGACAACCGTTTGGTTAACAATCGATTTCAGCAGGAACAGGCATACGACGCACTCTTCATTCCGATTCCATAGTTTGCTTACCTTGCACACCCCTTTCAAGTGCACAGCGGAACCACAAGAACCCAATCATCTAGATCGTTTCTTCTCGCCACCAGCCAGCAGTAAAAAAGCGTTCTGAACAGGAAAGGTCATTGCTCCTCAAGTTCCGAAAGAACAAACACGCATTCGTCGTGATGGCGACGTCAGCGGTGGGGTTCAAGGCGCGCGAGGACCACAAGAAGGCCAAGGAGCTGGAAGAGGCGCGCAAGGCGGGGCTGGTGCCGGCGGAGGTGGATGAGGACGGCAAGGAGATCAACCCGCACATCCCGCAGTACATGTCGTCCGCGCCGTGGTACCTCAACGCTGAACGACCCGTGAGTGGTTGCGGCAAAGAGTAAAGAGGCTCTGCTTTTTTCTTTTTCGGAGACGTGTCCCTCGAGCGTTGATGTTGCTGTCCCGCGTGGGCTCTCAAGGCGGATAGCACAGTGATTGGTACTATGGTGAACACTACTTCTGAAAGTACGTTTAATATAACCACCAGCAGCAAGGCATGCATGAAACGAATAGTTCCAGCATCGTATTTGGAGAATTGATCGGATGAAGACGTTCAGCTCGTTGCGTTTGTGTGTCTCGTGGTGCGTTTCATTCTTGCGCGTGTGTGCTCGTGCAGAGTTTGAAGCACCAGCGCAACTGGAAAGCGGAGGGTGGGCAGCAGGGCAAGAACTGGTACGACCGCGGAGCCAAGGTGTTTCAAGCCACCAAATACCGCAAAGGCGCTTGCACCAAGTGAGTCCCCCCACTGCTGGGCTAAAAAGCCGCTTCCTCCAGTGCAAAGTGAGTGTTTCGTCCGCTGAGTGAGTGACATGTCTCAAGTGCACAGTGAATGCTGATTGAGTTTCTTTCGTGCCGTTTCCATCCCCAGCAATAGTGTTGTCCCATGATGGACGCCAGGAACCAGCATTTCGGAATGTTAGCTCATGCCATGTGCGTCGTGACTCCAAGAGCAGTCATGTGGTGGCAGGCACGCAGTCGTCCTTCACCTTCCTCCTCGTTCCATCACCTTCCCTCTCCTTTTCTCCAACCTTCCCTCCTTCATCCATATTCGTCACCCCCGTTACCCTGCAGAGCCATGACCCAACACCACAAGCCCTCGCCTATCCACCCACACCCTCTCCTCCAACGCACGCAGGCAGATGAGCGGCCTTAATCCATCCCCCCTCTTTCCCCCCGTCATTCACGCAGCTGCGGTGTCATGACGCACAATCACAAATCCTTGATATGGCTCTCCTCTGCTCAATCCCCTCATGACGATCGCCTCTCCTCCCATAGCTCCCCTCATGCTGTCACCCATGCAGCTGTGGCGCCAGCGCACAACCACAAATCCCCCTCCCCTCTGCTTCCGCCCCTCCCATCCTCGTATCACCCACGCCGTCATGCATTCATGCACCTGCAGCGCCATGACGCACGATCAAAAGTTGTGCCGAGGGGAGGGGGGGCGATGGTAGAGGAGAGGCTGCGAAGATGGGAGCGACAGGTCCACCTGACCCGTGATGCGGCTCTCTGCACAATCCCCTCATGGCGCTCGCCCCATGATTTTCATGGCGCCATGACCCACGACCACAAGTCGTGCACCGAACGGCCGCGCAAGCTGGGCGCAAATTACAAGTCGCAAGACATCGCGTTCACGTCGCAGGGCATCGCGGCGGACGACAAGGTGGAGTCGTTCGAGCTGGACTTGGACGGCAAGCGGGCTGGCTGGCCAGCAGAACGAGCTCGACCCCTGTTTTGAGGCGCCTATGAACCCCCCATGCCCTTCCCCTCTGCTTCCGTCCCCCAAATCCTCGTGTCACCCACGCATGCAGTTGCGGCGCCATGACCCACGACCACAAGTCGTGCACGGAGCGGCCGCGGAAGCTGGGCGCCAAGTTCACGTCGCAGTGGATCGCGGCGGACGAGAAGGTGGAGTCGTTCGACCTGGACTTCGACGGCAAGCGCGACCGCTGGAACGGCTTCGACCCCTCCACGTACGCGCGCGTCGTCGCCGCGCACGGCGTGCGCGAAGAGGCGCGGCGGAGGTTCCGCAAGGAGCAGCAGCTGCGGAGGCTGAGCGGCGCGGGGGGGGAGGCGGGGGGAGCAGGGGAAGCGGGGGAGGCGGGGGAGGGGGGAGAGGGGGGGGTGGGAGGAGGCGAGGGAGGGGATGGAGGGGGGGAGGAGGAGAGGGATGAGGCGAGGGTGGACGAGAGCGAGCAGAGGGATTTCGCCAAGGTGGAGAAGCGCGTGAGGACGACGGGAGGCGGCAGCACCGGGACGGTTCGCAACCTGCGGATCCGCGAAGATACGGCGAAATACCTCCTTAATCTGGATGTCAACTCCGCGTACTACGACCCTAAGACGAGGTCGATGCGCGAGGACCCGAACCCTGGAGGCGACGCGGACGAGAAGTTTTACAAGGGGGATAACTTCAATCGGATCAGCGGGCAGGCGGTGGAGTTTCGTCAGCTCGCGCTGCACGCAGCTCGCGCAAACGAAGCGGCGCGCGACGCGAGCGGGGAGGTGCACGTGCAAGGCGCGCCGAGCCAGGCGGAGCTGCTGCACCGCGAGTTCAAGGTGCGCAAGGAGCGGCTGCTGGCTGCGAAGCGCGAGGCGGTGCGGGAGAAATACGGCAACGCGGCGGCGGATCCCGAGGCGGACGGCGTGACGGAGGCGCTGCTGCTGGGGCAGACGGAAACGGCCGTGGAGTTCGATCGCAGCGGGCGCGCGGTGAAGGGGCAGGAGAAGCTGGTGGTGGCGCGAAGCAGGTACGTGCAAGGAGGCAGGTGCGCGCAATGGTAATGCGAAAATGGACTGGAGGGCGTGCAGGGAGGAAGGGAACGGCGTTATGAAGGGAGAGGAGGAGCAGGTGACCGCAATGGTGGTCAGCGAGGTACGTGCGGTGGTAACCAGCATGCGAGGATGGCGATACAAGAAAATTAGGTACTGTATATGGAGATATACAGGATCGCTTTTGAGAATTCTCAAAAGCGGTACAATGAGAAGCCTGTGGGTGGAATCAGGTCAATGAGAAGGTATGGTGCGCGAGAATGAGCAAATATGCGGGGTGGTAACTATGCAATACAATGCACGAATGCATGGGAGAGGAGCATATCAAGTGGCTGAATTGAAGAAAGGAATAATGGTGGGAATGTTTTTCACTAAATCTACCATTCCAGTTCTCATTTCAATTTGTATTGACATTTTTGCCCTTTCATTTCACAATAATTGTATATTTTCCATTACCACCAGGTACGAGGAGGATGTGTACGTCAACAACCACACGTCTGTGTGGGGATCGTTCTGGAAGGATGGGCAGTGGGGCTACGCCTGCTGCCATCAGCTGCTGCGCCTGAGCTATTGCACAGGCTCGGCAGGCATCCAAGCCGCAGAGGCAGCTGCGGAAGCCACCAAAGCTGCTGGTTCGGCAGGCACATTGGGTGATGGTAGGAGGGGCGAGGGTGGGAAAGAAGGTGGTGAGGGTGGTGGAAGCAGTGGAAAGGCAGCAGCTGCAGGGGTCGGGGTGGCTTTGCTGTGGGGAAGTGCGGGAGGGGAGGACGTGGATCCATCGACACTGGACCCAGAGAAGCTTAGGCATGCGGCTAAGAAGGTATGTGCTTTTGTTGACATGCGCACGGTCCATAGTGGTTTGCTGCAGTTTTCGACGCTTTTTGTCAAGCAACACCTCTGATCCACCTGGTTTATGCAGCTTTATGTTTCATGCCTGCCCTGCTTATTTGGCATCATTCCCTCTGTCCTGTATGTTTTTCGCCCATGCCACTTGGTAACATGTGCTCAAGGGCCCTTCAGACCCCTTCATCATTCCCTACCACAAATGAAAGTATCTGATTTGCAAGGTCTTCCTTCTTTTCATCTATACCACCTGCTTCTCCCTCTTCCCCACTTCAGCGCAGGTGAGTAACTTGGACCAAGTTACACAAGTAAGCATATACACAAATATTATAACTCTCGTAGTGTTGCTCACAGTGCTCGTTTACCCCCATTACCGTATGCATGACAGATGGAGTTGCGTACAATGGAGGAGAAGGACGAGAGGAAGAGAAAGTACAATGTGCGGCATGATGACAATGTACGTGTTTTCCTGACGTGTGGCATGAAGATCATGAATGTGCCATCATGATGATGAATGTTGCATGACAATCGGGTATGTTTATTCAAAATGTGGTATGATGATGATGAATGAGGCAATCAGTCGTGCATTGTGACCATGTGTTAGCTTCCACGAGGACGGGATGTATGGCATTATGCATTCGTCGTGATGATGCAGGATGTGGTGTGGAATGTTGTTGATGATGACTGTGTCATTTGTTAGAGTGGTTCACCCCTGCGCTAGTAGTAATCATGTCTTGCTACTCATTTGCCTTTCGTTTTCATCCAATTTTCACATGATGGCAGGTCACAGCTGAGGATATGGAGGCATATAGGCTTAGGAGAGTTCACTATGATGATCCCATGAAAGATTATGCTGACAAGGAATGATACGGCTACATAAGCCCTGTATTTAAAACATTGGCGAAATGACGCTACTAGTAATAGTAAGCATGTTTGAATGGGGTGTTTGTGTGCCTATGGCAGTTCATTGAATATTTACATGGAGAAAACTATGAAGAGTAATACAAGCACTCTCAATGAAGGTAGGGGCGCATCAAAGCCATCATACTATCATAGGTACCTATACAGGGTTGATTTAGGCAGGTTGTGTGTAGGCTCTAGGGAGGAGGGGGCACGCTGCCGAGGTGTATGGGAGACGAGGAGGGCAGCAAGGCAGACGGCACAGACAGAGGTGCTTCCAGGGGCTGTGCCTTGAGGCGCAGACAGAGGTGCTTCCAGGGGCTGTGCCTTGAGGCGCAGACAGAGGTGCTTCCAGGGGCTGTGCCTTGAGGCGCAGACAGAGGTGCTTCCAGGGGCTGTGCCTTGAGGCGCAGACAGAGGTGCTTCCAGGGGCTGTGCCTTGAGGCGCAGACAGAGGTGCTTCCAGGGGCTGTGCCTTGAGGCGCAGACAGAGGTGCTTCCAGGGGCTGTGCCTTGAGGCGCAGACATAGGTGCTTCCAGGGGCTGTGCCTTGAGGCGCAGACAGAGGTGCTTCCAGGGGCTGTGCCTTGAGGCGCAGACAGAGGTGCTTCCAGGGGCTGTGCCTTTAGGCGCAGGCGGAGGAGCAGCTGTTCACAAGACTGGAACTCGAGCACGCAGGGACCACGACCTAGCCCCTCTCCAGGGACGGAGGTGAAGTGATACGAGGAGGGTGAGAGGCAATAGGGTGTAATTCTGTGGAGATATTGAGAGAGGTGCGGGGAGGGAAGGGGGTGCGTTCAGAGGGGCTCCTGGTGAAGGATTCGGTGGTAAGGCAAAGCCGGCGGTGCGTTCTGCAAGGAATGGGGTGCGGTGGAAGGTGGTTTGGAATGGGTTGAGGTGAAAGACGAGGATGTGAGGCAGACGCAGGAGGGTTGAGAGATGCGGCACGGTGCAGAGAGGTGACAGTGGGTGCATGACTCGTCCTGGAAGTGGGGGGGAGGGAGAGAATAGGTATCGGGTCGATGACAAAGAGAACAAGGCAGAGGTAATACATGGAAGTGAAACAAAAGTTTGTATAGTATGATGGATATGGTACATAGAAATCACTTGAAATCACCTGAAATCACCAGAAATTACCTGAAATCACTTGAGATCACCTGAAATCACTTGAAATCGCCTGGAAAAACTGGCGCAACAGAGTTGAGAGAGGAGGGTAGCTGAGACGGGCGGAAGCACTATGGTGCCATCTCCACGACTACTGGCATGGCATCAGCAGCAGGATCAGCAGAAGAAGTGGCAGTAGGAGCTGCAGAGCCAGCAGATGTAGAGTGGGGTAGGAGGAAGGGATTGGCAATGAGAGACAAAGGAGGAAGGGATTGGCAATGAGAGACAAAGGAATCACACACGATCTCTTTCCCTCTACCCCAGCACATTCACTCATAACCCCCATAATGGACAAGATATTGCTGCTCACCACACACGCACTCCTGTCCTTGACCTTCGCCTCCTCTACCCTCTCCTATCCCTTGGTCCACCCAACACTGTCCTCTCTACCCCCTCAATCCCTCGTGTCCCAGCCCTCTTTCCTCCCCACCTCCTGCCCTACTAACTGCCGCACTGCCGTCTCCCAGGATAGGAAACTAACAAGGCTTACGGGCCAATGCGGGTAGCATGGCATTTTGGGAATTTCACGCACCACAGAGACACTATGTGGAAGATCATTGCGAGGCTCCAAGACCTTGCTGTTCCAGCTGTATCCCAAATGCTCTCGCATAGCCCGCTCTTGACTCGTCCTATCCTCGTCTCTGTTACCTTGCCAGCATGTCCGGCCGAGCCAGCGCCTTTGGCCGAGCCAGCGCCTGCATCTCTATTGCTCAGAGAAAAGACATTTCGCTTTCTCACCTTCTCCTCCTGCCCTTTGTGCCTTCCTCTCACGTTCTTCTCTCGCGCCCTTCTCTTCCTGCTGCTTGTCAGAAAGATGGGAGCGCTTCGCCCCACTGCACTCTCAACATCGCTAGAATCTGCCACGTCGCCCACCCACCAGCTCTTTCCGCCACGTCGCCCCACCGATGTTGGCACGTGACAGGCCTGGGAGCTGACACGTCATCAGCCAAAGCTCAGTGATGACGGAGACACAAAGGGAGGAGAAGCAGGCGAGAAGCGAGGTGGAGGAGGTGGGAGAGGAGGGGCGGGAGAGAGGCGAGAGCTGGCAGTGGTTGACGTGCCGACGCCTCACAATGGCCCAGCCCCGCCCGCTTGAGCCCCTGCCCCCAGTCTCAATATTCTATTCTCCCTGTCTCCTCGCCTCGTATGGGCCCACATGGACTCCGCTGCTGCCCCGTCATCCGTGGCACGTTTTCTCGCCTCCTGCCAACTCCGATCGCCCCACTACTGTCCCTGTAGCAGTCCACGTCAGCATCCAACTGCAGGCGGCACTTGGGCGGCTGTTGTTGCTGCTGCAGCCGCGACATTCCTTTGGAACCCAGCCACCAATCATCTGCCTGCCACGGTGCCGACATGGAAAAGCGAAAGCGTAACGCGGAGGGAAGAGGAAGAGGGAAGGGAAGAAGGGGAACGAGAGGAAGAGTGTGGGCATGCTGCATGGTACGGATGGGCAGTGGGGTCAAGACCAGATGGCACCAGATGCCCGCCGTCCCGACCGACCGCCAACAGCCTTATGGCAGATGTCATGTCACAGATGGGTAGGGAAGGCAGCAAAGTGCAATGTGGCAGTGACCAGTCCACAGGCGGGACGGCGCCTTGTCACACGTCTGCGGACAAGAATGAATTTCGACTCACCATCACCATTGCAAAACAGCCAAACAGCCACCGCTCCAGCCTCAAGGCCCCTTCCCCCTTGCTCTGCCCTTTCAAAACGCTACTCTTGGAAAGCTTCGTCCTCCGTCTGTCCTCCTCTCGCATTCCACTCGTCTCTTTCCCGCTCATTCTGTTGATTGTGGCGTTATGTGAGCAGCAATACAGCCCGTAGCTGCGGACGAAGGGGCACCGGCAGCAGAGGCGGCAGCGGCGGCAGAAGCAGGGGCGCCACCTGCTTGCTGCCCCTTCTCTTCCCGCAAGCGCTGGGGGAAGTCTGGGGGAAGCAGTTCAAGCGCTGACGTTGTGCGAGCCGTTGTGACATGATGCAAGCACGGAAAGGAGGACGGGAAGGCGAATCGCGAGCAAAAGTGCGAAGTGAACATAGGAGGCGGAGGGGAAAAGGGAAAGGAAAAATAACGGGCAAGAGGTCTGTTGACGCGGTCACATTAGGTCGACTCACGATCGTCGTTTCTAGGCACAGCTGGCGACGGCTGTTGAGGCGCCTCAAAAGACAGTGGGCGTCCCCCTTCGTCGGCGCTTTTCCGAAAATACCGAGAATCTCCCTCTTTCGTACGCCCCCCTCCCGCTCCCCGCCTTCTCCTGGTACCGCCTGCGCGCCTCCACTCGCAGCTGAGCATTGCTGCTGGCGACCATGCCGTCAGCCCACGAGCGCCACGGCCGTGCCCCGTGATGCTCGTTCATTCGGACAGGGGAGGTGTGACACATTGTATTGCTCTTGCGAATGTGAAGCGTCGCATGGCACCAGAGGATGTCACGTCGCATGGCACCAGAGGATGTCACGTCGCATGGCACCAGAGGATGTCACGTCGCATGGCACCAGAGGATGTCACGTCGCATGGCACCAGAGGATGTCACGTCGCATGGCACCAGAGGATGTCACGTCGGGGGCAATAGCAAGCGGCGCAACGGTAGATGACGATCAACGGACACGCCTAGCGGCGTTTCGAACGTGAGCCCGTCTCGAGAGCACGTCAAGCGGAATGCCATTACTGCTAAGATAAGCGCGGCTCGCTTGTAATAAAAAAACTCTCTCGCGCGAGGAGCAACGGCGACGTCGCTCATCGGGTTTGAACGTCTTTCAGCAGCACCTGGCCCACCGCGTCTGACGTGGACAGCTTGCCGCCGTTCGCCATAGTAGTAGGCGGCTTGGGAAGGAGAGGTGGGTCAGACTACCTCATTCCTACTAGCGACCATCACGTGGAACACGCGGCTTGAGCGTCGAGCCTGGGATGCACGGCACAGCACGAACATGGACCTCCAGTTCCGACGCCTTGAGTGGCACGGAGTTGGCACTTGAAGGAGGAATTCAAATTGAATGTAGGAGCCGAAAAGCATTGCTCTTTCTATTCGAGCTGGCGGGGGCTGAGCGGCTATGGTTCAGCAGCAAGGAAAGCACTGACGACAATTCGGTAATGCGCGCCGAGCTGGTCGGTCGGATTTCTGGAACCTCGAGGGTCTGTGATTGACCAGTCTCTGTTACGGAAGAGCTAGACTTTACCAAGCCTATGCTCCGGCCGAGCCAGACCAGGTTCGTCTATTTTGAGGGATGAACCCTGCCTGGTTGGTTTGGGGGAGCTTGTCAGGCGGAAGAGCAATTCGCCAAATGTGCTAGGTTTCGCCAAGGCTGCTGGCGACAAACGTGGCACATGAGCAACTTCGCACGCACCTACGATGTTCGCCAGGCCCCTTCCCAGCTTTCGTGTGTCCGCGGGGCCGGGAGGAGGTGGTGCGTGTGCGGATGGTCAGCGGAAGGCTTGATGGGGGAAATCAAGTCCACTCCCCCTCCAGCCTCGTCTTCCCTTGCTTCTCATGCACCAGCTCTCCTGTGCTTACCACCTCGTGCCATGGTTTCCCTTCGTTCGACGCGCCCGAGAAATCTAGGAAACGAGATGCAAGCTTGCTGCCCGTGCCTCGTGGCAATCATTCGTAGTTCTTGCTCGTTCTTAGTCAAACGGCCTTGGAATTGCAACACGGGATGACTGCACGCGAATACACAGCACGATCGGCAGAGCTAGGTCTGATAGTAACAGCTTCCAACCTGGCTAGGGTCTCGAATCCAGTGTCGTTTTCAGGACATCGACTTCAATCTCGTACACGCCCCTTGCCTGCGTCAGCTTGTCCTCCCTTCTATGGCGCTCCTCCCACCTGCTCCCGTTTCTGCACTCCTGAGCAGATCGCACATGGAAGCAGTATGATGCTACCAGTCTTTCGCGCAGATCTGGACCCACTCCGTTAGTTCTTGCCTATTCTTCCCGTGAGTATACTGCCTCCTCGTCACGTTTCTTAGAGTCAAATCTCATATGCTTGCCTTTCCATCATCCGCTAGTTAAGCAGTCCTTACCTTCGAATCGAAATGATGGAGCCTCTCACGAACATCAATAGCCTCTCAGACGACCTTCTCTTCGCGATTCTAAGGCGGTCGATTAAACAACCCGATTCATGCGAATCCTACTTTGGTAGCTTGTGGTCCCCCAGATTCGTTTGGTGCTTCAATGAGGATAGAAGTAGATCCCATGCGGGTATGGGATTCAAGGCGCCAATACCAGCCCCTCCTCCATTCGCAGACGCGGCTCGAAATCTCCTCATTGCGTCCGTGTGCCGTCATTGGCGTCGCCTAGCGAAGCGTCGCGTGACCACGCTCTCCGTGAAAGAGGACCTCCTTGTGTCCCTCCAAGACCTCTCAGCTGCCGTCGCGTGCTTCCCCAACCTCACCCATCTGCATCTCAGCGACAACAGCGTTGAGACGCTCAACGACGCCTTTCTTGCTCACCTCGCTTCTTCATGCCCCAAGCTGACGACTCTCCACGTGGGGTGGAGCTTTCCAGTGGGGTGGATCTTTCCATTGGCCGGCCAAGGTGATGCCAGTTTTGAGTATTATCTCAGGAAGGAGGAGCGTCCCATATCAACGGACGGTTTGGATCGCTTCTTCTTAAAACTCCCTCGGTTAGAGCAACTTTCCATCTTCTCCCCCCACCAAGCAACAAAGCTACCGGGTTCCTTCTTTCAGTTGAGGCATCTCCGCACCCTTGTCCTCCACGACGCAAGTGCCTTGAAAAATGCTGATTTCGCAAGCCTAACAACGCTTGCCACCGTTTGTGTCGCCTTTCCGTGGAATCTTCAGGACCTGGCCACCCTCTTCCTCCTCCCACGACTCGCCCATCTCTCCACCTTTGCCCCATACCAGAGCCCTCAGCCCTTGGCGTGTGCTGCACGCATAGTGCCGCCGTCTTGCCTCAAGTCTCTCGCTTTTGCAGTTTCGTGTCCTGAGTTTGACATCGTCTTCCCATCAGCACCGCCGTTCACCGGCCTAGAGGAGCTGCTTATCGAAGACTGCACTGGGCTCACGAGCCTACCTCACCACATTGATGAGTCGCTGCCGTGTCTACGCAAGCTCACCACCAACCACTGCGAGCATCTTGTCGACCTGCCTCAAAGCTTCGCGTCTCTCAGTCGTTTGGAAACCCTCGTATTACGTGGTTGCAATCGCCTTACCTTGCCCAGCAACTTCGGTGACCTCCCTGCCCTCAAACTGTTGGTGCTGGAGTTTCTGACTCTCTGGGAACTCCCTCCTTCCTTCTGCCATCTCTCGTCACTCGAGGCACTCATTATAGCTGGAAGCACCGGTGAGGATTTCCAGCTGCCAGCAGGTTTCTGCGGCCTCACAGCTCTCAAGGCTTTATTCATCGCCGAGTCGGATCTTGCCTTGCCGGAAGACGTAGGGGCCCTTGCCAGTCTCAAGGCTCTCAAGCTGGTCACTTACGCACAGCCCTTTCCTGCTTCATTCACACAGCTGTCTTCCTTGACGAGCCTTGATCTGAATAACTGGGGGCTCGAGACCGAGCTGCCGGAAGCCTTGGGGGAACTGAGCAGCCTACAGGAGCTGAAGATTCAAGTCAGTCCAATTCGCACTCTTCCCATGTCACTCTTACAACTTACTGGGCTTCATACTTTGGTGATCAGGGATTGTGACGAACTTTCAGGAGTGCCCTCGAGGCTGGATACGCTTGTGGGGCTTAAGACGCTGGAGATATTGCGGTGTAAGAAGCTCCGTAGACGCTGGAGATATTGCCACCCTCTCTTCAGACCCTGCGCTTGGGCGGCCTTCGGAAAGGCTCTTCTCATGTCATCGACATCTCCCAGCTGTTGCAACTGAGGGAGCTGGAGCTGGGCGGGGTTAGGATGCGGTGCGGGCCTGCAGAGGGTGGGAGGCTGCCGTGCTTGGAGCAGCTGGAGCAGCTGGGGATGGGTTTTACATGCCGAGGGTGGGAGCTGCCAATCCCCCTCATCGTTTTCCCCCACCTCCGCCACTTGACGACTTGCGCAGATGAAGCTTACAGCCTCCCGGGGAACATGGCAGCAGCGTTGCCGCAGCTGCGGCAGCTGAAGCTTCTTCGTTGGCATTCGGAAGAGCTGCCAGGAAGCGTAGTGGAGATTACCTCGCTGACGTCACTCACTGTTGAAGCACCTCAGCTGACGTCACTACCTCAAGGCATGAGGCGCCTGTCTCGGCTGCGCAAACTGGAGCTGATTCGCTGCACCGCCTTGCAGCACCTCCCGGAGTGTCTCACCCAGCTGCACCAGCTGATACTGCGTGACACCTCCATCACCTCCCTCCCTGCCAATCTGGTGCAGCTGACCAGGGAGCGCTGACTCGGCTGCCTGCCTTGGGCTTCATTGCACATGACTGAGGTGGGTGGGGGACTTGATTCAGTTGAAGGGGCTCCTCCGTGTGCTCCTCCTCCGGACCTTTGCATCTTCCACTGCGTGCTGCTCCTCGCCCCACCCTTGCCTCGCCATGCGCGCACTCAGGGCCCAAAATTGGTTTTAGGCCACCCTGCCTAATTACGGTCTCAGCCTGTCCCACCCTGATGGCCTAGGGTAAAATTTCTGATAGGCTGACAAATACAAGCTAAAAAAAATGGTACCCTGATTGAAACAAAACAAAACTTACATTATTTGTTTCACGTAACCCTGCTAGCATAGCTCCAGTAGACAACCCGCAGACATCAGATTCGTACCTCCAATCTTACCATTCGTAGGAGATTCGTTAACTGACTAAGTTATTTACTGACGTTACAAGGTTACGTGAAACAATTGATGTAAGTTTTGTTTTGTTTCAGTCAGGGTACCATTTTTTTTAGCCTGTATTTGTCAGCGTATCAGAAATTTTACCCTAGGCCATCAGGGTGGGACAGGCTGAGACCGTGATTAGGCAGGGTGGCCTAAAACCAATTTTGGGCCCTGGTCCTCACCACATCTGCTGCCTGGTTCGACATGGTGCACACAGAGCTAGCCTCTGCCAATGCCAAGCCAACCAAACTTGAAATGCTCGATATTCATCCTTCTATCAGGTAGAAGCATACCCAATAGAGTGGTACTGTGCTGTGTAGAGGTGAGAAGGGCTATAAGATAATCTGTGCTGTGTTAGAATCTAGAGACAGGAATGAATCAACTATGGAAGAGTTGGGTACAAGTATGAAACCCTAGAAAAGGCTGTACCCCATATTGGCTACCCCACTACAGCCTACACATATATAACATGCATATACCGTCATACCCCGGATATAAGCGCCACCCTCGGATAAGCGCCTGGCGCTTTTAATTGGCGCATGGCGCTTATATCCGCTGCTCGATTATAAGCGCACCCCCTGAAAAATCTTGTTTTATTATAAGCGCACGTAAACTTTAAATTTTGAAATGTGTTCAAAACGCTGTAACGATTTTTACTTTAGGAGGCGGATGTGTTGCAGATTCGGTTCCCTTTACATTCGGACCCTGCACTGGATGCGGGTCCAGTCAGCAGGAGCTGTCAGGGGATGTCAGGAGCTGGATGTGAGTCAAATTGGGTGTATTTCCCAGCGCGCGCGAGAATTTCACAGACGACCCCATGTAACTTCGACTCGATTGAAAAGGCAAGCACGAGATCTACAGTTTGGTATTAAAAAATAAAAAAAATATATATGTCATTTTATAAACGCCGGCGCTCATAAATTTACTCGATTATAAGCCCACCCCCCTAAAAAAACCTGTTTTATTATTGCCCCCATAGGGGTATATCCGGCGTATGACGGTACTTTGACACACCCCCATAGGCAAAGTGGGGGAGCACAAGGGGTCACAAGACCAGTCAAGAGAAGCAAAGCAAGCTCAGGGTGGATCACAACGTCACCACACACACTGAGCACAAGCAAAGGGCCACAAGGCCAGTTCACATGCAGAGGTATATATGCAACAACAACAGCACAGTAATCTCTACCTAGCAGAGCAAGCATGCAGGTATATATAGATCACGGTACAAGCAAAGTCTACAGCACGCGAGGGAACGTGGGCACAAGGCCTAACAAAGTACAAAAGCGCTGATGATCACCAGATGGAAGTGCCTTGGTGAATATATCAGCAGTGTTGGCCCGAGTGGCCACGTGAGCAAGACGAAGCTGACCACGCTGCTGCAACTCTCGAGCAAGGAAGTAACGCAGAGCGATGTGCTTCGTTCTGTGCTCCAGTCTGTGCTCCTGACACAAGGCAATGGCGGCCTTGTTGTCTACGTACAGCACTGGGGGAGAACGCTGTCAACATATATTTTATATGTGTTGTTTAGGTTAGTCTAGGTGTTACATTTCTACTTCCTTGCATGATTAGGGTTTGCTATATTTAGGGTTGTACTTCACATTTTCTATCAATTCATTCTTATCGTAACATGGTATAGAGCTAGGTTTCCCCTAGGCGATTTTTCCCCTAGGCGAAATTTCTCTCGATAGTCTATGGGCCCACCACCTGCGCGCCTCGTAGCGACCCGTAGCCCAAAGCGCCCTGCCCCGTAGAGTCCGAGTAGGCCGCGCCCCCCCGTCGCCATCGCGCGTCACCCGTTTCTGCCCTGCGCCCCACCCGTTTTTGCCGTGCGTCACTCGGTTTTCCGCCCCGCGCCTCACTCGTTTTACCCCGCGCGTTGCCCCCCAGCCCTCTAGCGCGCAGCAGACGAACGCGCGTAGCTGCGCGCGCAGCCTTAGTCGCACCCGCAGCTCCGCGCTAGTACGTCGCGGCCGCGCACACGTGCAGCCTACCGTCTTAACCGGCCCCCAGACCTGAAAACCCGCCAATACAGACCTGAAATCCCCCGCCCAACCTGGAAACCCGCCGCCCCAGACCTGAAAACCGCCGCCCCAGACCTGACAACCGCCGCCCCACTTGGAAACCTGCTGCCCCACCCGTTCCAGGCACCTCACCCGGGATCAGCCGCCCCACCCAGTCCTCTCCACCGCTTTGAACCGCACAGAACCGCACAGAACTGCACATAACCGCACAGAACCGCACAGAACCGCCGCCTCACCTTCCCCATCCGTAGCCTGCTGCCTTAACAGCTTCCCCACCTGAAACCCGCCTCCCCACGAGCTGCCACACCCGCCGCCAGTAGCCCCAGCCGATTACACTGCCGCCAGCAGCACCAGCAGCAGCGTAGGCTGCCCCCAGCGCGCCAGCAGCAGCGTAGGCTGCCCCCAGCAGAACCAGAAGCAGCATAGGCTGCCGCCAGCGCACCAGCAGCAACATAGGCTGCCCCCAGCAAACCAGCAGCAGCATAGGCTGCCCCCAGCGCACCAGCAGCAGCTTAGGCTACCACCAGCGCACCAGCAGCAGCATAGGCTGCCCCTTGGAGAACCAGTAGCAGCCTAGGCTGCCCCCCAGCAGAACCAGAAGCAGCACAGGCTGCCCCCAGCGCACCAGCAGCAGCTTTGGCTGCCCCCAGCAGAACCAGCAGCAGCATAGGCTCACATGGCGTGTACTAGGGTTCTACAGCAGCAGGGCCAGCCGTAGCACTCCCGTCAGTGGGGGCCTGCGGGTCCAAAGTGTGGCGCCCCCAGCAGTGGCTCAGCTAGCAGTGGGCGAGACGTCGGCCCCTGCGGGTACCGGGCCCTGACAGGCCCTGGTGCTGGTACTACCTGCTGGAGTCCTGACCACACTGCGTCCAGCTGCTACCGTCGACTCGACGACCTCCACCGTGAGCGTTTTGGTCCTCACGCTATTACACCGCACTGGCCTTCGCGCCTTCGCCAGCGCACTACTGCACCAGTTGACTCTCACCTACCTGGTCTAGGACCTTTTCCGGCTGCACGAGTAGAGACCTGTGTTTCCAGTCTTGCCTACCGTCCTCGAGCCGTGGCTCCTAGCGTAGGGTGGCGCCCAGGGCCTGTGTGGGCTTCGCCTACACTCGGACCGTGGTGGTGAGTTCTCTTCCACTCGCCTAGAGATGTTCTGTCAGGGTCGGGGAGTCATTCAGTCGTACACGCTACCAGCCTCGCCGCAGCAGAACGGAGTAGCCGAGCGTCGCATCGGCCTGGTCATGGAGGTTGCCCGGACCTCCATGTGCCATGCCGGTGCCCCTCAGTTCTTGTGGCCTCAGGCAGTCCGCTACGCTGCGCACCAGCTGAACCTGTGGCCCAGTGACGCACGGCCACGGGTGACGCCGGTCTCTCTCTGGTCAGGTTTACAGGGCGTAGCAGCTGACTTCCGCGTCTGGGGTTGTCTGGCCCACGTTCGCGCCCCTGGCGCGAACAAGTTGTCTCCGCGCACTCGTGCCTGCGTCTTTCTTGGCTTCCCTTTGGACGCCTCCGGCTGGGTGTTCTACGACCCGGTCACCTGCGGGTTCTTCGCTTCTCAGGACGTCACGTTCGACGAGTCTGTCTCTTACTACAGGAGTCGCCCCCACCGAGGTACTGAGGTCTTTTCCCCCCCGCTGTTCCTCACCCTTGAGCCCCCCCCAGTCGCCTCGGTAGCCCCCCCCGCTTCGCGTCCTGCCCCGTCAGGTGTGTCGCACGTCACTCCGCAGTCGTCCCCCCCGCAGCGTCCAGTCCCTGTCGTGTCTGGGGGTGCAGGAGGTGCAGTTGCGGAGGGTGAGGGTGCTGGGGCTGCAGGAGCTCGTGGTGTGGGTTCAGGGGGTGCAGTGGGTGTGGGCGGAGCTTGGGGGTGCTCCTACGGGAGGTACTGGAGGCCCCAGGGATGTCGCTAGTGGAGGTGCTGGTTCTGGGAGTGCTGGAGCTGGAGGCACTGGCACTGTGGCGCCTACACCTCGCACTGTACATTTCCTGACCCGTGAGCAGCGTCTCCTCCGGTTGGAGAGGGAGGAGCGTGAGCGGTTTGAGAGGGCACAGCAGCAGCAGCAGCAGCAACAGGAGGAGTCACACCAGCATCACGAGAGGGTAGCGCAGGAGTCCCGGTCGCAGTAGCGGGCGCAGCTGCAGCCGCAGCAGGAGAGGGTAGAGGAGGAGTCACGGCCGCACCAGGAGAGGGTAGAGCAGGAGTCCAGCCCGCAGCAGCAGGTGCAGTTACAGACCCAGCAGGAGAGAGTACAGGAGGAGTCACGGCCGCACCAGGAGAGGGTAGAGCAGGAGTCCCGCCCGCAGCAGCAGGTGCAGTTACAGACCCAGCAGGAGAGAGTACAGGAGGAGTCACGACCGCAGCAGGAGAGGGTAGCGCAGGAGTCCCGCCCGCAGCAGCGGGTGCAGCTGCAATCGCACCAGGAGAGGGCAGAGGCGGAGCCACAGGAGCAGCAGCAGGGGCCGGTGCCGTCGCAGCAGACGCCAGAGGAGGCGGAGCAGCAGCGACTGCGACTACACGACCTCCCCAACCCAGCACCTGCACGCTTTGTTCGTGGTCCC